TCTGCTGCAGAGCGGGATTCCTCACCCTGGGCGGGACGGCTGCAACCCTGTGAGACCCGGGGGTGCGTGTCCTGTAAGGGCGGGGGGGGTGCGTGTCCTGTGAGGCCGGGGAGGGTGCGTGTCCCTGTGAGGCCGGGGGGGTGCATGTCCAGTGAGGCCGGAGGTGCATGTCCTGTGAGGCTGAGGGGGGTCTGTCTCTCAATGCTTTGGTGTTTCCCATCCACCTTTCCTTTCGGATCGTTTCTTTCTGGCGCCTGGACTCCTTTTCTCGCTGCTTTTTCCCAGAATGCCTCTCTCTGGGTCCACACACATGCTGCCTTCATCGTGTAGCACCTGCTGAGCCATGCCCTGCGGGGCTTCTACCAGGTCGGGTGTGTCCCAGCGAGTGTACACACGACTGACCTGGGATTTTTATTTTTTTAATCTTATTGTTGAAAGTATTACAGATGTCCCCGTTAGCCCCCTCCAGCCAGCATCGCCCCCCCCTCCTCCCGGCCTTCACCACCCCGGAGTGTCCCCCCCACTCTCCCGGTTTGTCTGGCGTCGTTAGGTAACGGAGTCGAGTCTCATTTTGCCTCGTTTCACTGATCGAGTCAGCCGTGAATTCTGATCCGCTGCTCTCTTGCCCAGCGAGGGAATAAAAGCGAGCGCGTTACGGACTGACGGCTGGAGAGAATCGCGCGTCTGCTGATCTGTCAGTTTCTGAGGCTCAGGTTGCTGCGAGGGAGATTGAGTGCTCTGATACCGCCAGGGAGAAGGGGTCCCTCTTTGGGGAGAATCAGAGGCTCTAAAGACAGATCCGTTTCCCCCCCAGCCTGGGAGAAAGCCGCCCTGCGCTCCCACCCGCTAGGGAGTGCCCGGGATAGGGTTACGGCCGGAACTCTTCAATCGCTATTAACATTCCTCGCGGCCTTTGTATATTTAACAGATGTTTTCTTTGCAAGATAGTCGAAATGTAGAAATGACTTTAATTGCGCGGGCAGAGTCACTTTTATGGAAACCAAACAGTTTTCTGTTTATATGCATATATCACAGTGCCCACTGGGACGCTGGCCTTCCCCGGCCTTCGTTTGATTTGTTTTCTTACTGCAGCCTTTCATATTTCATATTTTTTATGATGGTTCAAATCACAACAAAAAGGGAACGTTAGGAGCCAGCGACGGAAAGCTTTTAAAAGTCTGTGGCCTTTTTTCCTCCCGACCGGGAAGATAACGCTCGTTAATCTGTGGCGGGTGCAGGATGAAGGATTTCCAGTTAGTTTGGAGTAGATGCTTGAGTAGTTAATTCCGTTCATTTTGGAAACTTGGCGGACCCCACGCGGCCATGCCTTGCATATAATTTCTCAGGGTTGCTGCCTTTTCTTCCGTGGTATTTCGGGGTTCCTGGGTTTGGGGCCGTTTGTACAACCACATTTGCTGCTGCTGCTTCTTTTTTTAAAAAATATATTTTTATTGATTTCCGAGATGAAGGAGAGGGAGAGAGAGATAGAAATGTCAGTGATGAGAGAGAATCATGGATCGGCTGCTTCCTGCACGCCCCACACTGGGGAACGAGCCTGCAACCCGGGCATGTGCCCTGACCGGGAATGGAACTGTGACCTCCTGATTCATAGGTCGACACTCAACCACTGAGCCACACCAGCCAGGGTCACACAGTTACTTCTTCTTTTGCTCATTTGCTCAAGGGCCCCGTCCCGCAGGCTTTCTGAGGGCTGAACGCTCAGCTTCTACCGTTTTCGTCTTCCTGGGAGTCAGCATGTCTGACGCTCCGTGATGAGTAACCGCACTGCTTCCCCCTTTCAGCTGAGCTTCCAGCACAAGATCGGGATCCTGTACTGCAGGGCCGGCCAGGGCACGGAGGAGGAGATGTACAACAACGAGACGGCCGGCCCGGCCTTCGAGGAATTCCTCGACCTGCTGGGCCAGCGCGTGCGGCTCAAAGGGTTCAGCAAGTACCGGGCTCAGCTGGACAATAAAAGTAAGCTTCGTGGCGGCGGGTGTCTCATTCTCCCAGGGGGGCCGGTGCGGAAACCTAAGCCAGCGGTCACGTGCCCTCCGGCCTGGACCCCAGGAGCTGCCGGGCCAGCTGGTTTGGGGTCAAGTGTAGATTTCCTCCGACGTGCGTGGGACGCACCTTTCTCCAGGTGTATGTTTCTCACGCGCTCGGGGGCCAGCTCTTCCTCTGTCACGCCAGCAGGGAGAACCTTTGACTCTTTTCTTCTTCCTTTTAACCGACTCCCTGCTCTGGCTCACCAAGGATGAGCGCTCCGCTCGTTTCTGACAGTCGACATATGAACACGGTCCCGTTGTGGTTTCACGATGTTAACTCGGGAGTCAGAGCTGCGATGGAAAAGCCGATGATCCTGTTCTTCAAGGACCTTCATCAGGCGCCTCGGGTGCCAGGTGGACGGGCCGATTGAAAACTCGAGTTTCTGTCCACTAATGTGTGATTTGTCTCGAAGCCTCAGTTAGATCAGCGGTTCTCAACCTGTGGGTCGCGACCCCTTTGGGGGTCGAATGATCCTTTCACAGGGGTCGCCTAAGACCATCGGAAAACACATCTATAATTACATATTGTTTTTGTGATTCATCACGATGCTTTAATGATGTTCAATTTGTGACAATGAAAAGACATCCTGCATATCAGATATTTACATGACGATTCATAACAGTAGCAACATGACAGTTATGAAGTAGCAACGAAAATAATTTTATGGTTGGGGGTCACAACATGAGGAACTGTATTAAAGGGTCGAGGCATCAGGAAGGTTGAGAACCACTGAGTTAGGTCATCCGATGTAGAATATTCTAAATATTCCGGCCGCGTGCTTGTGCTGCTATTGGGTTGCTGTGCAGCTACGATACCAGGCAGAGGAATTGGGTGTATTCGGGAAAATTCTGCTTCTTACCAAGCAGTGGATTGCTTGTCCTTTTCATGAGAGAGGAGCAAGTAGAGTCTGAAGGGCAGGGTCTGGGAAAGGCGGCCAGCCCGCTCCCTAGGGATGAGTGGGGGCGGCAGCAAGCTGGTGTTGGGACCAGGTGGCCTAGGGCCTTCTAGCTCCCCGCCCCCAGCGTCCACTCATGGGGCTGTCACCGGGACTCACCTACCTCAGGGTGGTGCCAGGTCTTCGTACCCCTGTCACCAGGTCTGGGTTTGAAGGTCACGGAGAGGACAGATCACAGGACCTGGAGCCGTGTTAGCTCACGTGTGGGCCCCTGTGTGGCCTCCACACTCGCCGGAGTTGGAGTTGGGCTGTTACGTTGAATGCGTGTTGCTCTGGCCTCAGATGCATAAAGATAAGGAAATCATTTAGACCCCCACTGTGCATATCCACATGTTTTAATGAAGTTCAGTGAGGCCTTTTCTGATTTTCTTTTTTTCTTGGCAAACTCCTCTTACCCACAAACCACCACCCACGCCTTGAGGCGCTGGCCTGCTGCCTTGAGATGTCCTTGGTTTTCCCGGGTTCCAGCTAAGAATTGGCTGGAAACACGCACACGCTCACAGGATGGGCAAGAATGACTGCTCCTTGGGGCGGAAGCACCCCACCCCTGCAGGGGGGTCCCCTGAGTCAGGTGGCGAGAGTGCAGAAGGGGGAGCCGAGGGCTCAGGCACGTGGTGAGAGCAGGGGGGGCTGCAGATCTGGTGGGAGAGCAGCCGACACAGGAGGTACGAGAGGGCGGGGGACCATCAAGACGCCGTTGTGTGTAGTTGAGTGGTTTGTTTTTCCAGTGGAATCGCCTTCTGACAGGATGACGTTCTCAGTGTCCGAGCGCTCCCTTTCCAGTTGCCTGACTTGTTTCTGTAATTGTCTGTCTCTAGCCGACTCCACGGGGACGCACTCCCTCTACACCACGTACAAAGACTACGAGCTCATGTTCCACGTGTCCACCATGCTGCCGCACATGCCCAAGAACAGACAGCAGGTACGCGTGCCCCTTCGCCGCTCACACCGCAGCCAGCCCAGCCCAGGGGGGCGGTTCACGCCGTGGAATCTGCAGAGAATTATTGGGTTTTTCTTGAAAGGCATTCAGAATCGTTGACTCTTGAATCATTTGGGCTTTAAAGGGATTATTATCGCACATGTTTTGTTTGTTTTTAATATATTTTTGTTGATTTCAGAGAGGAAGGGAGAGGGAGAGAGAGAGAGAGAATCATCAGTGATGAGAGAGAATCATGGATCGGCTGCCTCCTGCACACCCCACACTGGGGATCGAGCCCAAAACCCAGGCCTGTGCCCTGACCAGGAATCAAACCATGGCCTCCTGGTTCATAGGTCGACGCTCAACCACTGAGCCACACCAGCCGGGCTAGGTGGTTTATTTGCATAAAGAGGATTCGCTGGATGGGAAGACGCTGACTCAGATCAGCGCACTGTCCCAGGGGCCGCTGAATCACTTAGTGATAAACAGGGTGAGTGGTCGCTCCCATGGGGCTTCCTCAGGCCACGGCCATCTGTCTGCACGTCAGTGCCTCATGCAGGGAGCCAGTGCCTTTGAGCCCGGCCGTCCATGTTCAGCCACCGAACCCTCCAGCTCTCTACTCGCTGGAGTCCTTGGGCTCCAAACTGGATCAGCCCGTCACTCTCATCGGGCCGCCTCTGTGTGTGAAGTCTGCTTGGCTTGACTGTTCCCGGAACTCATCCCCGGCCCCCCACCCCTGGTGCCCTGTGTTGTAAAGCCATTCACACCTGCGGTTTATGCGTTCCCGGGACCTGCCCCTCTTTTTTCCTTTTTTTTCAGTGAAACTATCCTTAAAAAGTCCTACACATAGAAAATGTGTATGGAGGGATGGGGGATGGGAGATGGTGGGGTGGATGGGTGTGGGATGGGGGATGGGAGATGGTGGGGTGGATGGGTGTTTTAAACTTCCCAGACTGGAGATTTAAAATAAATAAATAGAATAAAAATAGATGTACGTATCCCTGTGTGTTAGACAATACATTACCAATTCCATAGCCTAAAGAGCTGTTTGGTTACCTTTTTTTAAAACTTGAGTGAGAATCTGTGACACGGGATAACTTATGCTGATGAACTAGAGGTGGGAAACTGTCAAAACTGCTTTGTTTTTTTAATTGCTCTTCCCGCACATGGAATATGTATGATCCTGTATGTGGATCCCTGGACATCTATAGTCGTCCCCCCTTATCCGAGGGGGGTACATTCCAAGACCCCCAGTGGATGCCTGAAACCACAGATAGTACCAAACCCTATGTATGCTGCTTTTTCCCCTCCACATACATACCTATGATAAAGCTTAAGTTATAAATTCAGGGCAGTAAGAGACGAACAACAATGCCTAGTAATGAAATAGCCCGGTTATAACCATCTGCTGTGATGGAAGGTATGTGACCATGGCCCCTCAGAGCTATGCTGTATGCATTGCGTGCAGATGCCGGACAAAGACACGATTTACATCTCGGGGGACAGAACGGGACAGCGTGAGATTTCATCACGCTACCCAGAACAGGGCGCATTGATAAATTATGAATTATTTCTGGAATTTTCCATTTAGTATTTTCAGACTGTGGTTGACTGCGGGTGACGGAAGACATGGAAAGCAGACTTCGGATCAGGGGGACCACTGTGTACTCTACACCCCGGGGGCAAACCCGCATAAGGCGGAGGGCATGAGCGAGCCGTGGGCGGTGGCGAGAGCTGGTGATTATTAGGGGATGAGGACATGGTCTGGCTTTCCAGCCCTGGAGCGCTGGGTTGGGAAGGATTGGAGGGTAGCCCCAGGCTCGGAAGGGAAGAAGGCCGTGTCTCTGAGATCCCACCCATGGGTTTGGAATCGCGGTGTGGGGCCTGTGAGCCTGTGTGGATGAGATGGTACATAGCCGCTTAGCGTCAGGATTCTGTGACTTTCGGTTCCTCTTTGTGGCTTCCTTCTCCGCTGAGAAAAGGCTCCGGCAGAAGAATGGGGTTGTTAAGAGCAAGAACTCCGGAGCCAGACTTCCTGGGTAGTTCAGGCTACTAGCTCATGACCTTGGGCCAGCTTTTCCAGGCTTTCCTTTCCTCTCCACCCTCCCTCTCCCCCAAGACAGATGTTTATCTCTCTTTTTTTTGTTGTTAATCCTTACCCTAAGGATATCTTTCCATTGGTTTTTAGTGAGAGTAGAAGAGAGAGGGAAAGACAGAGACCCATGGATGGGAGAGAAACACAGTGATTGGTTGCCTCCTGCATGAGCCCCGACCAGGGCCCTGGCTGGGGAGGAGCCTGCAACCGAGGTTCATGCCCTTGACCAGAATCGAACCTGGGACCCTTCGGTCCACAGGCCGACGCTCTATCCGCTGAGCCAAACCGGCTGGGGCTCTTTTTTTCACTGAAGGGTCCCTAAGCCCCTAGAATGGTACCCAAACCATTGTAAGGGGTCTCTAGACATCTGTTCATCATGAAACCTTCCTCAGTGATCATTAGAATTAGGTGAGCTAATACATATAAGCACATGAAGTGTGCCTGGTGCAGTGTGCTCGGCAAGTTGTAGTGGTAACTTATTTTATAATGGACTAGATACAAAGCCTGGTATTTAAATGACTTAATTTGCATTTTATTTTCCTGTTCCCAACCCCAACAATGTTATGAAAAACCAAGGCCTGAGTAGTTAAGAAAGTAAGGGGCTCTTTTATGAATAATTTTGTAAAATTACTTTTGCTTTGACATTGAATATTTTCCAATCATGTGTCGTCATCAGAATATTCTGGCCCAGCCAGGTGTGGCTCAGCGGTTGAGCGTCAACCCAGGAACCAAGAGGTCGCTGGTTCAGTTCCCAGTCAGGGCACATACCCGGGTTTCGGGCTCGATCCCCAGTGAGCGCATGCAGGAGGCAGCCGATTGATGATTCTCGCTCATTGTTGATGTTTCTCTCTCTCTCCCCCTCTCCCTTCCTCTCTGACATCAATAACAATATATTTTTTAAAAAAAGAATATCCTGTTTGTAGGTAAATGATGCCATATCCAATCATGGAACACGTGCTTCCCTAATTTACCAAGGATTCTGCTGACTCTTCCCATATCCCTCACCCACCCCTCCCATGCCCACACATTGCGGGAATCCCAAGGGCATCCGTGTCTGAAATGAGCAGCTGGGCTGGTGCCTGCATTTGGGGGCCCCCGGACTTGGCCCGGTCAACTGGCCTCCACATGAGCTGTGCCCGTGACTCCAGTCTCATTAGCACCATGGGATCTGGGGATGCGGAACTGGGGCAGACTCGTCCACATCAGAAGAATTCCCTATGGTTGGTTCTTGGGTAGACCAAGCCGAGGGCTGGTTCGGAGACGGAGTAAAAGTCTTTAGGGGAGTCACCCAGAGGGAACGAGTTCAGGGTTGGAATGTCTGCGCCACCAAAGAAAGCTGGGCAGGGCGGGGGGGGGTCAGGGGGCCCTCCCTTGGGGCGTTCCCCCCCTTCCTGGGGTCCTGGGGCCTCGGCCCTGGTTGGGGGGCAGGCCCCTTGTCAAAGCCCGTCCTCCCCCGGGTGGGTTCCCTTCT